TAAACCTTAGCTTTTGGAAAGTTTGCCAGTCCAGAGTTCATAAGTGAAATGCACACTTCTGTGGTTTTCTCCCCAGCAAGGAGGGAAGGCTGACTCTAAGGAGGGCTCAGACTTCACTTGCATTTGGATGGGAGATTAAACGCTATCTCAAAATCCCAGACCTGCGTCTTAGTTTGGTACATGAAAAACAAAACAAAACCTGCATTAGAAAGAAGGCAACGGCAAACAGCTTCTGTGCTGTTCCCAGTATCAAGGAGCTATCCAGGAATTACAGGTAGTCCTCGACTTACAACCACAATGGAGCCTGAAATTTCTGTTGCTAAGCAGGACATTTATTCAGCGAGTTTTGCCTCATTTTACGATCTTTCTTGCCACAGCTGTTAAGTGAACCACCACTATTGTTAAGTTAGTCACACGGTTTTTAAGTGAATCTGGTCGCAAAGGGGAATCACATAATCCCAGGACACTGCGACTGTCATAAGCATGAACTAGTTGCCAAGCGTCCAAATTTTGATCATGTAACCCTGGGGATGCTGCTATGGTTGTTAAGTGTGAAAAATGGTCATAACTCACTTTTTTCACTCCTTTAAATGCCTTTTGTGGCCACCGACCATGGCCACAAACACCCCAAGGCTTGAGATTTAAATCATAACAAGATTTCAAACCTTCAAAACGTCCCAGGGCTCCACAGGATGAGAACCAGTGAAGTAATCAATTAAGCCCAGTTTGTGAAATTTTTGCCTTTTACTGACTTTGAGGTCACTCTTAACGGGATACTTTAGAAGAAACAAAGCAGGGAAATTACTTCCAAGACTTCAGGAGAAAGTCAGAAAAAGAAATATTATTCTCTCCCCATCCCTGACATTTTCTTTTTGCTGTTGTTTAATCCCCCCTTTATTTTAACAATCTGGTCAGGTTGAAGGTTAGGAAGCCTGAACGATCAGACCAAAAAAAAAAAAAACCCTTTCAAGCCCAACAGCTGAAGCCATCATGCTATTTTATTTATAAAGCATCTAAAATTATGAGGTGCTGCACAGTAAAACCAAGAGTGATAGTTCTCTGCCCACAGACTCAAGTCTAAAATTAACCAACATATTTCCTTCTTACAATGAAACAAATTTGGAGGGGGGGAGAAGGGGAGGAAATGTAAAGAAACAAAAAAAATATATTTGCAAAACAGCCTCTTTTCATACTTCTATAATACCTATAAACTGTTCACTGGGATACAGGCAGTCGTTGACTGGTAATTGATCAGCTAATTCGTCAGTAGGTAAACATTGTGATTGTTAAGCAAGACATCACATGAAATTGTACCCGATTTTACGATATTTTTGCTGTGGTCATGAAGCAAGGCATCACATGATGCCAATTTAGATGCTTCCCTGCTGGCTTCCCCATTGCTGACTAGGAGGGCCACAATTGGCAACCACGTGATTCCAGGGTGCTCCCACTGTCATAAATGCAACCATTTGCCAAGTGCCTGGATTGTTATCAAATTACTGCAGAGACACTGCAACAGTCGTAAGCTTTGAAGATGGGTCCTACGCCATTATTGTTTTTCAGCCCCAGTGTAATTTTAAACGTTTGGCTAAATGAACAGTCAGTCGTAAGTCACAGATTATCTGTACTTACGAACCAGCATGACAACAAACAGCTTAGCTGCAAGAGTAACTCACAACTGACATGGAAACCCCACTCCAGTATATACACACTTCTTCTACTTAGAATTACAAAATAAACTGCTATAATGCAAGCCATGATCCAATTGGAATATCACTGCCTTATTGGATCTATGGGGGCTTATGTTGGGTGAGAGTCCTAGGCATGGACTGCATCCATACAGACAAAAATCTCTGAGAAATTAGTTTTTATGTTGTTCAGAAAAGCTCCATCCAAAAGCCAATATTAAGAATTGGCAGACAAAAGGGAAATAACTGAGCATTACAGAATGCATGTAAAGAATGTTGTACCTTACAAACCGCCAACTGACAGTTAGGACTGCAGAAAAAAACAACTGCAACCAACCTGCCTTCCACTGAGGACTTGTATACTGCACGAGATAGAAAGAGGGCTCAGAAAATGTCTACAGACCACCCTCACATCCTGGACATAAACCGTCTCAACTCCTCCCCTAGGGATGAGGCTACAGGGCATTGCATGCCAAAACTGCCAGACACAAAGACAGATTTTTCCCCCATGCCATCACCCAACTCCCACAGCAGACTTATGCCTACAGATATTTACTCATGTAGTAGGGCTGTAATGCTATTATCCTTCCCATCCTTCCTATTACCTTCTCCTATTGGTAACTTATGATTGTATTACCTTGTTGTTTGCATGTACTTTGAGAGCTTATGCATCGGAGACAAATTCCTTGCATGTCCAATCTCATTTGGCCAATAAAGAATTCTATTCTTATTCTCATTAGTCGTGATGGTGCACTGGTTACAATGAAGAATTGCAGGCGAAATCTGCTGACTGCTAGCAGTTCGATCCTGACCCACTCAGCTTTCCATCCTTCCGAGGTCAGTAAAATGAGAAGCCAGATTGTTGGAGGAAATATGCTGAATCTGTAAATCGCTTAGAGGCTGCTGTAAAGCACCATAAAGCAATATATATGTCTAAGTGCTATTACTATATATTCTATTGTTATCTATTGCTATCTATTGCTACCTATTGCTACCTATTCTATTCTATTCGCAAAAGGAATGGCAATCTGCAGCCTCTAATAATATACAAATGAAGGCTTACAAGAAACAAAAATCTATTTTCTTTTACCTTACAGCATAGGATTTCAGCCTTGAAAAGTACTAAACATTCAAGTTTGAAATATACTGTAAGAAAAGTCAAGACTGTCTTTGCTGAAAACCTCCAAGATAAAACAAGAAAAAGATGCATTCATTTAAGGAGGATTTGAATGAGCCAAAAAAGCTCTTCAATTATGAAGAACATTTATATAATCTGGAAATCTTGGATGCTTAGGTAAAAAATGAAAGGTTACAATCTATCTTGTATTAAAAATTCCCAACAAGGCTCAGAAACTGGATGACTCATTGTGCAAGTTTTGTGTATTACCTATAATTGTGGAATAAGCAACAATTGTTTTGGTGACTGAACACATAAAATCCCAAACAAGCAACCCATATTACGATTCTGCATGACATAAAAGCTTTCACATACTTTCTATACCAGACCTGCCAACATAGGGGCTTCAACTTCCATAGCCAACAGCCAGTAAGGATGGAACGGCTTTTCCATTTATGGTGTTTCAGAACTACCTTTCCAGAGCAAACATGTTTCCAGTGGATGGAAGAGGTACCCTAAAATATGAGTCCTACCTGTGCAATAGATAAGATGCAAGCATTTCATAATATTTGAGGTAAGGATCAATGATTTCCCTTGAATCGGAAAGGAAAAATCCAAGTCTTAGGGAGCCCCAAGTGCAGCTTTCATGATTATAAATCCTGGTTGGATTCATACATTGAAATACGATTTTTCAGTTTGTAGCATGTATCAGTGCTGCCAGCAAATACAGTTTTGTATCTGTTTAATATGTAGTTTAGTACCTAAATTTTTTCTTAAAATAAATCTTGCATACCTTTAGCTACCTAGGTTAAATTGATAGCATTGTCTTCTGCTATCTGGGAAGTCTTCAAATACATGCCATTAGATTGCAATTAGATTGTCCTGCCTTTATTGCTTTCCCTTCCTCTTCCTAGTTTCCACACAACACTCCTGGGAGGTGGGTTGGGCTGAGAGCGACTGGACCAGTGTGACTAAGCTAACTTTCATGCCTAAAATAGGACTAGAACTCACCCATCTCCTGGTGTCTCTAGGCCAGCACACCATCCGTCTGGCTTTGTTTCTAACTCCCTGTCCATCACAACCACAGCAAAAAAAAATTCCAAGAGATGAAATCTGTACAACTAAAAGAGGCCCAGTGTGGGAAAAGCTGGGTGAACATATTGTGTGAATGCGGATTATCAATCCCTTAGGAAGATGCCACTCTCCTTCCTCTTTTCCACCCGTACCATTTGTGAACACAACACATCAAAGGTGTCAAATTGTTGTTTCTTTTTTCTTCTCTCTCTAGGTTTACAAGTAGTTTAGAAGAAGAAAGAACAATGCCACATCTTTAAAAAAAACCTACCACTGTACAGAAATCTGCAGGTGTCGCCATCCCATAATAAGCAACAAGAGAGAAACCTGCCAACTTTGACCAATTTCCTCCTCTTAGGATTGCCAGCAACAATTTTTCTTCGTTTTTCTTCTTCTTCTACTGGTACCGATTTTTTCTTTCTTTTTAAAAAAAATAAGCTGAGAACTCATATGTCTCCACATCACTAGATCCCCACCACAATTCTACATTTAAAAAATATTATTATTATTATTATTCTCTTCCTTAATTGGGAAAGTAGCCCATTTTCCCCCAAAAGTCCAATTCTTCCTCCGGCCAAAAGCATCTGCCCTATGTTCGCTTAAAGAGGGCAGGAAATGAATACTTGCGGGGGGGGGGGGATAATCAACCCACCCTTTTTAATCCCCGCTCCCCAACGAAGGAGAGGTTTCTTCCCCACGACTTGTGGAGTTGGGAGACGACGGGAGGGTGCCGGGACCTTCCGCTCTCTCGGGGAGGGACGGGACACGGGTTGAGAGGGGAAAAGGCGGAGAGAAGCCGAAAGGACGCCCCCACACACACACACACACGCGTCGGCGGGTTCTCACAACACGCCAAGAAGCCGGACACGCGTGTCTGGAGGATGCTCGTGCGAACCCAGCGCGGCGATGGATGGGTTGAGTGGGTGGGCTCCTGTTCAGCCTGTTGCACAAGCGCGGCCAGTCGGGGTGGTGAATCCCGGGGAAAGTCGGCGCCGCTACCCCCGGCTATCGCCTTCCGAAGAATCCCCCGTCCTCCATCCGGCGCCGCGCGGCCGCAACAGCCGAGAGACCAGCCCCTTCCGACGGCCCGGGGGTTTCCTTGCGAGGAAGCCCGCACTTACAGCCGGAGCGACGCCTCCCCTTGGGAAGATCCGGCGCTGCTCGCTGCCTCCTGCTGCTGCTGCTGGGTCCCCCCGCGCCGCCTCTGGGTCGCCGCTCCCGCCGGCGGCTCCGCGATCGTCAACTGACGGAGTGGGCGGCCCTCGCGACAACGGTCTGAGAGGCGACGCTCCGAAGCCCAGAGAAGGCGAGGCGGCGCCGGAGCAACGGCGCGCCTCAAGACCCGCCCTCGCCCCCGCCCCTCTCCCCGCCTCCGAACGCAAACGGGGGTTGGGGGGGGCTTGAATCGCACGCCTCGGCCAATCGCCCTCCGAGGCGAGAAAAAGGGGCGGGCCACGCGAGAGAGGGGGGCGGAGGCGCGCCCAGGCCGGCCAATCGGAGCCCGAACGCTCTGACGTCATTGGGCGTAGAGTGGTGGCAAATTCACAAAACCCGGGAAAGAGGGCGGGGCCGCTGGCCGGGTGGGGGCGGGAAGCGGGGTTAGTTAGTTAGTGCCTCCGTCTCTCTGCTTTGAGGATTATGGTTTACCTGTGGTGTGTTGGCCGAGCAATGGGGTGAAACCAAGCCTCTCCCCAAAATCTTGATTTACTAGCTTGAGTGAATGGGTTCGCCTGTCTGTTCAAAGGGGCAGAGCAGGACAAGAAGCAACGGGTGGAAACTAATCAAGGAGAGAAGCAATTTAGAATTAAGGAGAAATGTCCTGACAGAACAATTAATCAGTGGAACAATTTGTCTCCAGAAATTGTAAATGCTCCAACACTGGAAGCTTTTTAAAAAGAAGTTGGATAACCGTTTGCCTGAAGAGGTGTAGGGTTTCCTGCCTAAGCAGCGGGTTGGACTAGAAGACCTCCAAGGTCCCTTCCAACTCTGTTATTCTATTCTATTATGTGAGATTTGTTTGCTTGCAGCCTCCTGAAAAAAGCACCTTTGGGTTTGCTTGCAGACTTTTCATTACCTGGCTAGGTAACACCACTGATGATATAATCTAGTTGGGTAATAAAACATCTGCAAGCAATTGGAGCACACCCTGGACTCTACAGTTCAATCCAGAATAATGAACATTCTTTTCTATTAATCCGGAAGTTTTCTGAACAAACTCAGCAGGAAATTGCAAGGTTTGTTTAGGGCTTAGCATATTGCATAAACCCAAGAAAATGTTGGGCAAACACAACCTATGTATGAGTTAGAGGATCTCAAAAGATTCCAATATTAATCAAAGCAGATTCTGCTGGTCAGTTTTCACACTAGATTTAAAGGAAAAGCAATACAGGTAGTCCTCGACTTATGACTACAACTGAGTCCAAAATTTATGTTGTTGAGCGAGACATTAAGTGACATTAAGTGAGTTTAGCCCCATTTTATGATGTTTCTTGCCACAGTTGCTAAGTGAATTACAGTTCATCTATAATACTACAGTTTTTAATATGGTTGTGAACAGTGGTGGGATTCAAATTTTTTTACTACCGGTTCTGTGGGTGTGGCTTGGTGGGCGTGGCTAGGTGGCAGGGGAAGGATATACTGCAAAATCTGCATTCCCTCCCCACCCCACTAGCCTGCTTTCCAGCTCCATTCTCCTGTGCAGGGCAACCAAAGAAGAGCCAGCTGTTCAGCTTGGACTCAGGAGGCAGAGAATAGATGGGGGCGGGTCAGTCAGAGGTGGGATTTGCCAGCTCTCCGAACTACTCCACTACCGATTCTCCAGAACTGATCAGAACCTGCTGAATACTAACTCTGGTTGTGAAGTGAATCTGGTTTCCCCGCTGGTTAGTCAGAAGGTTGCAAAAGGTGATTGCATAACTCTGGGACACTGCAACTGTCATAAAAGAGAGTCAGTTGCCAAGCCTCTGAATTTTGTGCACGTAACCATGGGAATCCTGCAACCGTCATTAGTGTGAAAAATGATCGTAGGTCCCTTTTTTCAGCACCCTTGTGACTTTGAATGATCACTAAACAAACTCCTGTAAACTGAGGACTAGCTGTATGTTGTAATGACGAGGCAGTCGAGGTGTTTGATCATGATCAACTGAATCATGATGAACTTTATTGGAGTCTAGTCTTGCATTTATACACATTTTTAGTAATCCTCCAACATTGGTTAACTTTGGTTACTGCTTAACTTTCATTGCTGTTTAGCATAATAGTAATTAACACAATTAATTATCTCTAGTTAAAGTCTAACATATGTTTACTTCCTCTCTCTAATCCTCCTTTAGATTAGTGACTTCGTTTGCCTGAGTTGTATTTGCTTGTAAACATTCTTTATCTGAGGTTTGCCATCCAAGATAGGAACATTCCTGCAATTACAACTCTACAGCTGTACATCCTGGGAATATGAGACATTGATAATCCTCAGTAAATTACTTCAGAAGATGGAGTTCATTGGCTGCTTTTGAATTAGTGTTTATCCCACTTTTATTACTTTTTATAAATTGCACACGGTGGTAAACATACTGTACCTAATATTCCTTCCTCTTCCTATTTTTTTCCCCACAACAAAAACTGTGTGAGGTGGAGGCAGGGCTGTGAGGGGAATTGGCTCAAAGTCATACAGCTGACGTTTATTTAATCTTTGTTTTGAGAAAGATAACTTATCCCAATTCTAACCCACTTATTAAACCAAACAATCAATGCATAACAATTGGCAAGATATCAACATCTTTCGCCTTTTTGGTTTCTTATCTATCCGCAAATGCCACAGCAGAAAAATGACTCTTGCTATCATTTGCTTTGGATCTGGATATCAGAGCCTTCCTATTTGTTTTAAAAAAAATTGAAGCCAAATCTGGCCAGAAAAAGTTACTTGGAATGGAGAATGGCTGTAGCCCTCAGAACACCTTCAGGACTCATTTAAGATGGCATATCAAGTGCAGATTTATTTTATTTAGTTAATCCCATTTTTCCTCCAGGCGGGGCCTAGAACACATGATTTCCTGGTTTCTGGGCCAGCACCTTCATTATTCCACTAAACTGTTTTTAAACTAAACTGTTTTTAAACTTCAATAAAACCCAAGTACATCTATCAATCCATCAGATTAGGGAGACAGGGTATCTTATGGATCCCTCCAGCAAGGACGTCCATCTAGTCCAGGGGTGTCAAACCTGCAGCTCATGGGCTGGATGCGTTACACGCTGGCCACGCCCACTTCCACTTTAGCAAAGAGGAAAAAAGTCGCAACACATCATGTGATGATGTGACAATGCGAGTTTGACACCCCTGATCTAGTGAAATGGTATAGGTTGTCCTGCTTAAGCAAGGGGCTGGACTAGAAGAACTTTAAGGTCCCTTCCAGCTCTAGTCGGATTCTTAGTGCAGGGGTAGGGAACGATGGTCCTTTTATGACTTGTTTGTCTTCAATTCCCAGAATTCCTGAGCCAGCCATGCTATACCATTTACCATTTCACTAGATCGGGGGTGTCAGACTCGGGTTTTCCCAGTTGCAATGTATGGCTGTGAAAGCTGGACCATAAGGAAGGCTGAATTGAGGCCTTTGAACTATGGTGCTGGAGAAGACTCCTATGTGAGTCCCTTGGACTGCAAGGCGATCCAACCAGTCAGTCCTAGAGGAGATCAACCCTGACTGCTCTTTAGAAGGCCAGATCCTGAAGAGAAAACTCAAAAGACTTTGGCCACCTAATATGAAGGAAGGAAGGGCTCGCTGCAGAAGAGGCTAATGCTGGGGAAGATTGAGGACAAAAGAAGAAGAAGGGGATGGCAGAGAAGGAGGTGGCTGGATGGAGTCACTGAAGCAGTTGGTGTGAGCTTAAATGGACTCTGGAGGATGGTAGAGGACAGGAAGGCCTGGAGGAACGTTGTCCCTGGGGCCACGATGGGTTGGACATGACTTGGTGACTAACAACAACAAGAAGCCATGCTGGCTCAAGAATTCTGGGAGTTGAAGTCCACAAGTCATGAAGGGGCCATGATTGCCCACCTCTGATCTAGTGGGATCAAGAAGAAGGGTCTTTTCTGTCATGGCTTCCTCCCTATGGAACATCATCCCTGTGGAGACAAGACTGGCCTTCACCTTGATGCTCTTCTAAAAGGTCATGAAGACATGGTTTTACCAGCAGGCCTGGAAGATCCCAGGTGGATATGGAGCGCATCAAATGGTTTGTTGGAACGTTGTCGCCAAGGCAGTGGAGGGTGGGTATTGTTTTTTTTAATTTGAGATTTTATTGCTGTGAGCCACTGGAATCACTGTTAGTTAGGCAGGCATATATATTTCTTTAATAAATAAAAAATAAATTTCTCAGCCCCCAATGTGTGCATTTAAGTCATCAAGGGCTTTGCTGCTACATAATTAAAATTATTATTAAGCCTACTAAGGGGCCTAAACTCTGTACAACTTTCCCAGCAGTTTAAATTTCAATAAAGGTTCTTTTTCAGGAGCAGAGCACATACTTGTAATACAAAATGTATTATTCACACACATAGACTCTGAGGTGTTGGTGCCTCCCCAGTAGATGTTGAGAAGTTAATATAGCCTAGAAAGGGCTCAAGTATAAGCAAATATCTTTTTTATTTTTTGCTTCAAATGATATGTGATCAGGATGTGATGGTAAAGGCAAACCTTTATAAAACATAACTCATATTTTTAACAATTGGATTGGCACTACCAGCCTTTGATATTAGCAAGATTTATTTCTGTGTAAACATTTTTATGTTTGCACCATTAAACGTTGGGTAAACGTGACAGTGTTCCTGATTAAACTGAAATGTTCCTTTCTGCACTACTTAATGTTTAATTAGAGATCTGGGATTAGCTTGAAGTTGAGTCACTTAAAGTCACTTTTTCCACTACGGCAATTCCAGATGAACTATATCAACCAGAAGAAGCATGATGGATGGCACACATCATTCAAAGCAATAGGGCTGAATTTACACAGACATTTAACCTGCTTGCAGAATATCCAAGCACAGAATTAATTAATGGTTAAGGTACTGTAGCAAATCACAGATTTGTAGCTGATCAGGTTAAACATACCAAGGTATGTTGCAAACTGCATACCATATAGTTCTAAAATTGTAATTTTAATATGTTAATATTAAGTTAATATGCAGTTTTAATATGTTAATTATTTTTCCTTTTATCTTTCATATGTAAGTTACCCAGAGCCACCTTAAAGGGGAGATGGGTGGCATAAATATTTAATAAATAAATAAAACCAACAAATTATATTTTAAAT